CCTCTCTATTCCTTCCTTCCTTCCTCTCGATTCGATTCCTTCCTTCCTTCCTTCCTTCCTTCCTTCCTTCCTTCCTTCCTTCCTTCCTTCCTTCCTTCCTTCCTTTCCTTCCAGGGGTAGCTTTGATGAAACCACTACGAAGTTCTGTGTTGGGTGTGTGACAGAAGCTATTGAATATTTGCATTCTATGAGTATAATCTACAGGGATTTGAAACCAGAAAACTTAATTTTGGATGCCCAAGGTTATATAAAGTTGGTAAGTTTAAAAGAAAAGGAAAAAGGAAAAGAAAATGTATAGGGATATTGCAAAGGGAAGATTGCTTTGCATTTAGCATGCAGCCATTCAAAGGAAAGTTTAAGAGTACTTATATCTTTGTACCTCTGTCTACTGAAGACAAGACTATTTTACCTTGAAGACTGGGAAGAAATATTACTATGGAAAGACATATATTGATTTATACTTACATGCAAACACAAATGCATTTATATATTGTTTCTCATTAGAAACAATCCCGACTATTTCTTTGTTAAACTGGTAATATATTTTCCTGTCAATTTTCCAGGCACAAGTTCCTCCAGAGTTCACATTTGATCAAAGTCGTATTGTGAGAAGGGTGTATATTACGGATTACAGATGGGGAGGTCTTGCAATCAAATTCCAGTTACTAAGGACTGGTGGCAAAAGATAGCTGTTACCCTTTTGTTTACAGCTTTCCAAGATGCATCTGAGTGGCCACTGTGTGAGGAAGAATAGTGAATCCATCTCAGTAGACGTTCTCATAGCAGACGTTAGAAACAAGAATAAACAAGCTTAGATAATACTGGTAACAGCATCTTCTCCTCCTCTTTTCTACAAGGTTGACTTTGGGTTTGCTAAGAAGATCAGAGCAGGGCAGAAGACCTGGACATTCTGTGGGACACCTGAATATGTTGCACCTGAAGTTATTCTGAATAAAGGCCATGATTTCAGTGTGGATTTCTGGTCTCTTGGAATCCTTGTGTATGAACTGCTTACAGGAAAGTATGTCCCAGGAGACTGGTTTCATCAAGCCTACATTGAGGGCCACACTGGAATGCTGGGACATATGCTTATAAGTGGGTGAGGAGCCCACCGCTCAAGGGTTGTACACAGCTCTTGTCCTACATCTGGGTGGCCCCACATGGGCCCCTTTTGCTTTCTAATCCACTTCTTGGAGAATAGTTTCCACTTCATCTTTGTGTATGCAAGAAATAGAGAAGAGTTGGCACGGAACAGCCTGGAAGGAAAAGGGTTGGGAGACATGGCTGACTCTGCTCACCATCAGTTGCAATTGCTGATGTTGTTTTCCCAAGACATGGGGAGCCCTTTGTATGGAAACCATTCCTCCGCTGTGCTTCATGGCAAGATTGCCAAAATGCCCATCAATCTTATTTTTGTGGCCTACCCTTTGACTGGATGGGGCTAATAATGTGGATTTTTATTTTTTTTTACATTGGGAGATTTGAGGAGGGAAATGGGTACCTTAAGCCTTGCAGAGGGCTTAAAGCACCTATATAACTCCTTAAAGCCCCTAAAACCACTCCCAAAATATAGCCTGGCCCCCACCCAGTTTTGAAGTGCACTCCTGATATGCACATAAATTCTGATACAGCCCTTAAGCTAATGGAAGTGTCATATCCCTGTTTTATGGTGGGGTGGGGGAAGGGGAATAATTTTAGCACCTGGTCTCTAGACAGTTCTTATAAATGCAAGACAAAAAGCAGGGGGGTTAACCATGTTCTTTTCCCTCCCTCCTCTCAATTTTGAAATGACATCTACTCAAGTCCTCCATTTACTGGAGTCGATCAAATGATGACCTACAATTTGATTTTAAAAGGCGTTGAGAGGCTGGATTTTCCCAGAATAATAACCAAGCGCCCTGAGGATTTGATTCGGCGGCTTTGCAGGTGAGAGAAGGGTGATTGTGTTGCAGAGGTGTGAGAAGAATAATTGAGCGGGGTTGTATTTCCTTAAGCACCCAACATCCAGCCAAATTTTAATCCAGAATCATGTTTGTTGGTATTATTTAGCAGCATAATTCCATTTGGATCTATTTGGACAAAGGTCCCATTGTGATCTGTGGGATGTCCTACCTGGGAGGTGTGCTAGATTATTTAGTGTGCTTTCCTCAACCAAGCAACCTTCAGATATCCTGAATAGAACTTTTAAGAATTAGAACTTGTATAATCTGTTAGAAGTAGATGTAAAAGTTTAAACAGAGCATTTAATCATACTACAACTTAAAAAAAAAAATCAGGGATTTTATTGGCCCCACCAAATCTCTTTTTGATCTATGGCATGTCTCCATGTCATAACCAGCTATCTTTTCATCTTTTGGCTTCTCTGTTGATGTTAAATCTTTTGTGTGAGTTGCTAGGCAACCACCTTAAAACTAAGCACTTAAGCAATTAAGGCCTGTAAACCATTTTAATGCATGTTCTACAAAGACGTATAGCAAGATTGGAACTTAATTGAAGTCTGAGTTGCTGAGATTGTGGCATCAGACAGCATCAAGGTCTGAAGGCACATGATGCAACCATAGTGGGAAATGATTGTTCTCCTGGGAACATTACCTGGAATTCTGTCATTAAAAAAAAAGCAGAACATCAAGGAAAACTGGAAGATCAAGAGTACTGCATTCTTGCCAACCAGAAGTTTGCATGGAATGCAATATAGTACCTGAAGCACAATTTCCTGCTGTTCTGTTCCCATCCTTCACACAGATTGGACACTATGAATCTTCATTTCAGTGCCTTGAATGATCTCTCATGTAATCATATGCTTACCCTCTTGCTTTTAGTTCGTTCAAAACCTACAGCAATTTTAATAATACATATGGATCATGGGAAGCTTTGGGCTGCCAAACCAGTAATGTGCAAGGAAGTTGTAAATCAGAGCCTTGTGGATCACTTTTGGCTGTTACAAATTAATCTCTGATTAGTTGAGGGCCTATGGGAGCTGCTTCAAATACCACTAGATATAATTGCCTCAAACGCATACTCAATCAGCCAGTTGCTTTACTCCTCTGACCAGGAGAGCCTTGCAGTTATTCCAAATGGCCAGCAAAGTTGTACTTTGGGACTCCTCAAACACTTCATGGAGTAGAGAATTTGCAGCCAGACTAAAGCCTTTTTTCTTGATATATTTGACTTGCTGGTTTTCTGTGTTAAAGGATAATTTCCGTATATGTGTGTACTTCTGTTTTATGCAGAGAAATATTTAATCGTTTAACTCCTTGAAAAGGAGAATTAGATTTCTGGAGAATAAAGCTATTAATGGGTACTGCTCTGTGCCACTTCTGTGATCACCCACATACACCAAAATCACCTGTGGATCTGCAGATCTCTCTTAACAACTTCAGGCTCCACACCCCTTCCCCATAGCAGCCATAGCACCTAAAATACCTACTCAAAATTTAATGTGTCCACTGGCCAGAATGATGGGGATCCTTACGCTGCCCCACACATTATCCATGGGTAATACAATGTATGGTGAAGGTGTTAAACCTGTCCTAGGGAGACACACATTTTAGCTTTCACTAGGTGCCTTTGAGCTAGTCACTTGCTCTCAGCCCAGCCCATCTCACAGTTACTGGGTAAGCAAAAATGCCCCATACACACCCTTCATCTCCCAAAGAAAGATTGAATATAAATAATAGTAACAACAATGGTAATAACGATGATATTAATCCACAATAAACTGATCCACTCCCAACCACTTTTATCCTGAAAATCAGTTAGGAGATACTCAAGTCTCTAAGAAATTAATTATGGAATTGTGATGCTATTGCCAAATTATAAAGTGTGTTCTCATTCTCTTTCTCTCTCTTTCTTATCCATACATGCACACTAGACAAAGTCCTACAGAGAGATTAGGAAATCTGAAGAATGGAATCCATGACATTAAGAGGCACAGGTAAATAAAGATCTGAGTAGCTAATCAATGAAGAGTTGACTGTACATAAGATCTCTTATTGTATTCCTGCTGTTGTTTTTAAGGCTTTAAGATAGGAGTGGGTAACTGTGGCCTACAGGCCAAATTAGCACTAATGAGCTAATTTCATGTATGTCTCAGCCTCACTACAGATCCCAAATGCAAGAGATCAGTTAAGACCAATGGTTAGAGCCAACAGTTCCTTCCTTCCAGTCTGATGCTTTCAACAAAGAGATTATCAAGAACAGAAAGAAGGGGGTATCAGAGCAGAAATTTGCCCCCACTCACTTTTTGGCTCTGGACCCCACATTGCTTGTTTCAGCTGGGTATAGTAGGTAGTCCCCAACAAATTACCTGTGGGAATGATGTTCTCAGTAACCACAAAAAGATTAGGGTTTAAATGTATCCTGGCTTTAACAGAAAGGAAGGTGATCCAACACTCTGGTGTTGTCACAGTATGTGGGAATGACCTTGGGAGAAAGGAGGAAGAGCCACAGACTGGACAACCAGCATGTAAAAGATTTCTCAGCCCACAGAAGGACTGGGGGTGTGGGAAGCATTTCAGAAGGGACCCTCCTTAGTTTTTCAGAGAGTAAAAGGAGAGAAATACTTCGAGTTTTGCAAGATTCTGTTAATGTAACTTACAATAAAGGTAGAGTTAGTACTCCTAGTTGTGCTTCTTGTCTGGACTACTTCAAAGGGCTAACAGGTGTTGCATGCAGCCCTCAACCAAATTTTATGCAACATTTCAAAGACCTCCAGAAGAGATCATGCCTTTAGGAGAAGGATCTCTCCATCTGGCAGTCCACTGGTAGGAGAAGCAGGGGAGACAGATTTGAGGGTGTCACAGAGAGGAAGAGCCTTGTTTATCATGAACCCTTGACAGTTGACAGGACCCTGCAGCTCTTGAAAAAAATACCCATCTCTGCTTTAAGAGATGCAGTGGCAAGTCTGTTTGGGACTGTAATTATGAAACCAGTTAAATAACCATCTTGCTATTTAACTTTCCATTCTAGGTGGCTGAATGGTTTTAACTGGGAAGGACTCAAGGCAAAGAAGTTAACATCACCCCTAAAGAGAGAGGTACTCAACCAGTCCCTTTTCAATTAATTGATCAACGATGTGCAAAGGCCAGTGTCTCATTCTTCTCAGGAACAGGGTTAACCAAATTGCCTTTTAAGATGTGCGTTATGAAGATGCCACAGGGGTCCTGTTCCCTCACACTTAATTGGGTCAGTGGGGATAGAGTCACAGTATTGTGGGCACATCAAAAAGGAGTTGACTGGCGCAATTAACCCCTGATGATTCAAAATAGACCCAATTATGACAAAGTTAAAGTTAAAGTTGTGTTGTAGGGACCCCTATACACATTAATTTGTTTTGACCACCTAATCCTCCAAGAAAAAGAGCTGGAGAGGAAGAATGGCCAGAACAGGTAGCCTCTCTTTTACAGACCTCACTGCCAAGGCCTGGCATTATAGTACACATCTCCAAACACTGATTGGCTGCAGCAATCCATGTCCACTATTGCCTAGCTGGCCAATAGGAAAGAGGCTTGTAATGGAATGAAGCCTTGCTAAGACTCTCCCATGCAAAGCCTGATGGAATATCAGGCAGAAATGGGAGAAAATGGATCCAAAGGAGGGGCTGGGCATGGACTTTATTGTGATTGTCAAGTGTAAGCCCAGCGTGGCCAGATGGTAGTGTTGTAGGCCAGATCTGATGGAGTCTGGTAGCAAAATCTCTCTTTTAAGGTTTCCTTCAGATATGCTTATACCACAACTCTCCTGTAGCTTTCAGGTCCCATGGACTACAGCCACTTTGACAGATACCCACCTGAACAGGGAGTTCCACCAGATGAGCTTTCAGGCTGGGATAAAGATTTCTAAGAAGACAAAATCCTTACAAGGCTAGTAATGTAATTGTCAGCATTCACAGGTTGTCTACAGTGATTGTACACGTCCTTGTTAAGAGCCCAGCCAAGAGGCATTGAAATTGCATTTAAAATTCAAAGGACCATGGATCACACTCTGATTTCCTTTGTAAATTCCCAACACGAAGTATTGCATTGTGAAGCTATGAGAAGCAGAATGAAGGAGACCAGTGACCAGCAGCTTAAAGCCCTGCTAAATTACAATCTAAATTCCACATTCATCTCCTTTGGAAGTGTGTGGCCCATTTATTACATCAGCCTCTATGCTCTGATGTGCTTTGCATAAAACGCCACTGTGAGCAACCTTGGGCCCCAGAGATGAGAAATGTAGGAGTGTGAGGGGAACACTGGAAAGAGAATAGGGTTTGAATAGCTTCGTGTAGGTCTCAGTGCCCGTTTTTTGTCATCTTACCAGGTAAATGAAATCCGTTCTTAACAGCAAGTGAGTCCTGTAAACTAAAATGTGCCTCTAAAATCCTTTCCCTTATAAAAATATGTTAAAATTAAGTTGTATTGTTTTTCCGAAAGCAAAAACACAGATGTAAAGATGCAGAAAACAAAAATAAATCAATGCCAAAAAAGGAAAGAAAAAAAGTAGTAAAAACTAGATGTACATGCACACATACACACATATTTTTTCCATATATGCAGTGTGCATGTGTGTGTACCTACTACACACACAGTCACATGCAACGGCGTACATTTTCACAGAAAAGTGGTTTTATTTGTATTATTTTAGAGAGGAATGAATCAATGCAGTTGTATAAAGCATATGATGACCAATTAGACTTTCAGGAAGAAATTCAATTGTTACTGAACAATTATTTCCACAGATAGTCATCTCTATCTGTTTCAGTTAATTTTGTAAAGTTATGAACAGAGATTTCTGTTTATATGTAGGCTTTTGACATCATGTTAAAAAATGAAGTACTGTATGAATGTAACAGAAATATGTTTTAAAAAGTTAGACTCTGGGGGCACTTTTTGCTGAGTCCCCCTGAATGGGAGTCTTGTCTGTACTCCTTAGTATTTTTAAATCTTTTCTTAATCTTTGCTCCTGTCAAGCTCCCTTTTCCTAAATCTGCCCACATCTGCTCTCCCAACCGCATATACCTATGCAGGGACCTGGCATGGGATACGCTCAAAAAGTCAAGATGGCCGCTATCGCAGTGCAATCCAAGCTCCGCCTGCTTTTTCTGTGACTCACAAAAGCAACACACATAAAAAACAGGCAGAGCATAAATTACACCATTATGATCAGCATCTTGACTTTTTTGACCATAGCCTGCAGACATCTCTGCAGCTGAGGCTGCTTTCCTTGATAATGATAAGCATTGTGACCATCTTAATGGCCCACTGTGATTCCCTCTCAGAGCTTTAAGTATCCTTTTTGGGGATGATTTATAGTAACTCTTCCACATAATAGAACCAGGCTTAGATTATTTGGAATTCAAGCACACCAGCCGCGTAAGAGGCTATTTATAAAGACAGAGATCCTGTCTACGTTTTGTTAAAGAGAAAGTTTAGTCTTCCAGTTTAATCTCTTTTTTAAAATAAACTGATCAGAATTAGTAATCAAGCATTTTATCTTGTTGTGGAGCGGTGGCTTGAAGTAGCAGTACCGGCAGGACTACTGGACTTATACCGAGTCTGCATCTTTACCAACTAGTATCATATAGCTGGCATAGCAATTCATCAGGATCCGGACAGAACTTTTGCGGAACCCTCTACCTGGAGATGCTAAGGAGATGAAGCTTGGATCATTTGTATGCATAGCGAGTGCTCTATGATTGATCAGATGGGTCCTTCCAAGATCTAACAGTGGTTCCGCAAAGGGGGGAGGGGTGGAGTTCTGCACCTTTACAGAAACGGTATCTCCAGGTAAATGATCTCAGGTGATTGGGCTGCAAAGCGTCTCTGCTAGTTGAATGAAATGGTATTTTCATCCAATGTAATTCAGTTTTATTTAGATTCTCCCAAATAGGGATGGCCTTCCAAGTGACCATTCGTCCTACTGGCATGGCCTAATGGTAATTGGAGTCAACAACATTTGCAAGGGTACAGAATTCTTACTTTGATTTAAAGGAACTCTCTAGATGCCAACTGGTACCCATTAGTTATACCAAAGACCTCACATTGTCACCAAGACCTCTCTAATTTTTGCCCTGTTTTGGAACTTTTCAAAATGTAAACGCTGTAAAAAAAACAACTTTTTTAAAAAAAACAAAGTGCTTTCCCTCTATTTATTTGTATATAAATGCAATCTTCATTCATATATGTATATGTTGGAGACTATTTTTAACAAATACAGGAAGGTGCACTTTAATGCACAGTGTAGAGAGCAAGAGACAGCCCTTGTCCTTTTTAAATATCTGTCAAATGCATTGATTTCTTTGTGTGCATAAATAAATCTGTTCCACAACATCTTCCATTTCATCTGCTTGTATTTTTCAATGTCGTCGTAAAGGGTAGGCCAAACCCTGGCTTTCTGCACATTGCTGTCTCCTCCAGATGTGCTGACATCAGAGGGAGCTTTTCTGCAAATGAATGAAAACGATGGGTTGTGAAAACCAGGGCTGAAAATGGGTATACAGCCTTTCACAAAACAACAGGTAGGAGTTCAGGCAAGCCACCGGTTCTTTCCCATGCAGCTTTTTTCATGATAGCCGCATTATGTGTGCCTTATAACAATTTGGTAGCACATTCTAGCAGTGGTGCCCAGGGGAGGTGAGTATCAAAATCTGCAGGACGAAAAGTGCAGCATTGTGATCTGAGCCCCACCCCTTTGTACATGTATCAGTGTTGCACGAATATACAAAAGGGGCAGGTCTTCAGTCAGGGCCCTGCACCTGCCACCTGGCAGATTTTGAACCTTTCCTGTAGACACCCGTGCATTCCATAGAAGTGCAAAAGATGGGCCATTTTCAGTGTAAGAGGGCTATCTTTCTTGATATTCACTTTTAGCTCAAGTTTAACAGTGATTCTTGATCTTTCAATGTGATATAATAGATACAACTATTTACAAGATGTATTAGAAAGCTGTAGTATTCATGACGTTTTAAAAGCCCTGGTTTGTCCACTGGTATTATATTCTTTTATCCTTTTTTCATGTTTATGCTTGTATTTGTTTATATGTTTTCTTTAAAGAGTCCAGTAAAAGGAAAACAAAACTGGATATTCAGCAGTTAAAGCTGCATTTAAAAAACAACAACAACATAATGAAACAGGAACCTCTTTTTCCCAACATGTAACACTAGGCATAAAACCCCAAAGGCCGCTAGCAGAGGCTTGCACGACATTGCCATTGCACTAGCCTGAAGCCAGTTTCTCCCTCTAAAGACTTGAATGGTACCAGAGAGACAGTAAATACCTTTTGAGATGGTGTTCATTTGGTTAATGAAAAATCGTTTTTCTTCCATCTTTCCTGCAAGCCCCTATTAATCTACCTATTACTTTATGAAACACTCTCCCTTCTGGATATTGACTTGGATTTGTCCCAGAGATGTGCATCGCAGAGCATTTCTTTCTTAGCTACTTACGGCCTCACTGGACAGCCTGGCCACCACTCAATTTCTTCATACCCCAGTCTTGTTACATCCCCAGGCAATGTTTTAAGTACCTTTATCCTGTGCCTCCCATACTGCCATACACATACCAGCTGCAGAACACATGAGTCAGGATAATTCATCATTAGGCCAGCAGCAAGAGCTATCAATCACCACTGCAAGAACTGGGTCAAATATGACGTTTTAGAGGATTTGCTTCTGCAATTAACATGAGAATTAAGGGCTCCACATAATGGTTAATGCAGCCTTAGGAATTATGGTCCCTACAAATCCAGACTGCTGAGGAAAGAGGTGGTCCAGTGAATCCTGAAGTCCTCTTCTCAAACCTTGCCTTTACCTTGAACATGCTAGATTGCTTGGAAGGATAAATCCACTCCGAGTTAATACCTTAGCTCCAATGGAGGAGTAATGCTGACTTATTGTATATGAAGGTTGTAAGAAGCCCAAGATAATGTGTGTGAAACACTTTGAATAAGTGTTATATAAATACACTTTATATATATAGATAAAAGAACACGAAAGACACTGCAGACTACAGCAACCATAAAAATCTGCAGTAGCTGAACATGCTCTCAAGCACACTGGACACAAAATCCTAT